GAGTGTGAACCACGTGTCGGTTTTGGGTCCCGTCACTTGCGACTTCATGGCGTCCAGCTCGAGTGTGTGACACGGGGTCTCCTGGACGTCACACGTTGGTTTATCTGATTCCTCCAGGGCTGAGCATTTCTCACGTGTGGGTTTCCTCTTGTGTGGAAGCGTTTCCAGCGTGTTGTGACCTGTAACTCACATGTCTTCTTCCTGATCTTCTGTTTCCTTCACGTCCTGGGGACATTCAGGCTGTTTCATTTCTGCCTGCTGTGTTTTCTCCACGTCAGGGTGTGTCATTTCTCTGGGTTGTCTGCGTGGATGGACCCTTCGCGTTGTTAGTAGACTTGAACTTCCCCGTCTTCTTCCTGTGTAGACGGCCGTCTTTTGTTCTGTGGGAAAACTCCTCCATCGCTCAGGTCTGATCACACGTGCTGGAACTTTCTGTCCGTGTGTTCCTCTTGTTTCCAGTTAAATCCACCAGACTCGGTTATTGTCCGTGAATCTGATGATCCCTTTTACCCTTTAGAAAACCAGTCTTCCCTGGCCCCATGTGTCCTGGTGTCCCCGTCTCTGCCACCGCCCTGCGGCACTTGCCGTGTGGACATCCACTTGCCTAAATCAGGGGCGACTGATGTCTCCCCTTAACTATATCCTCATTGTGGGAATCGATGGTAAGTGGGAGGTACTTGTCCTGGGAGGTAAGAGCATCCCCAAGTGCATCCTCCAGCCCAAGATAAGGAATGTGGTCCCATCCGTTATATCCACAAGTCCATATTAAGCATATGGAGTGGGGTACGCTGTGGTTTCAGGAGCGATTTTGAGATCCCAGTCACACAGGATTGGTCAAGGTGACAGTTGAGTCATGCAGTTGTTGGGGAGTCCTTCCCATTTTCCAGCTGGTCACAAAATCCTGTGTCCCTGGGGTCCTGTCATTATCCCTCTAGAGACACAAGCATGGAGATTGTGTCTACGTGAGCTGTACGGTGGTTTCTCTGAAGCTGACCTCAAGTTGTTCAGGATCGGTTTTCAGGACTTGAGGAAAAAGGGCAGATTGGTTTTTAATGACTTTAACTCAAGAGAATGGGCGATGGGAACCCTAGTTTGGAGAACAGTAGCCAGAAATTTGAGGAAACCAGACGAATTCAGGACCTAGTCTGGTTTATAAGAAATAGTATCAAAGTCTAATACTTACAAAAATGTGTTACTGAAACATAATTTTTTTCTCTCTGCATTCACTCTTATTTCCAGAGATAGCCAAATCAAGAACAATTCATTTGTAAAACAAGTCCAGTTTTAACAAAATGGCCTACTTACTTACAAAAGTTCAGCAAGAACAGTGATTGCCCATTTCAGGGTTTGTTTGTTTGTTTGTTTGTTTGTTTGTTTTTAATTTATTTTTGGGACAGAGAGAGACAGAGCATGAACGGGGGAGGGGCAGAGAGAGAGGGAGACACAGAATCGGAAACAGGCTCCAGGCTCCGAGCCATCAGCCCAGAGCCTGACGCGGGGCTCGAACTCACGGACCGCGAGATCGTGACCTGGCTGAAGTCGGACACTCAACCGACTGCGCCACCCAGGCACCCCTGTTTCTTTCTTTCTTTCTTTTTGAGAGCTTGGTTTG